ATAAAGGGCAGGCTTCCCAAACCTGGTTTCCTATTTTTAAAGGATTAGAGAACTGATAGATCAGTGAATGCTCTAGATACAGTTTACCCAGATTTGTTTAAAAAATATTTTGAGCCTTTCTTGTGAGAAAGAGGTGACTCAGTGATGACACAACTAGACAGAATGGCCAGATCCAAGGACTTCGGCGTAAACGTGGCAAGAAGTCTCCAAGCGCTCCCTTGGCCCTGGGTTTTGTTGTTTTTTTGGTCAGTGACTTGAATAAAAGCTTATCAAATCTGCCCACTTGGGAGGGACAGCTAACCCAGTGGATGGCAGACAGAGGACAAATCCACAAAGATAAATTTCAACAGGCAGGGAAAGAAAGTCGGACATTTAGGTTTGGGGAAAAAAAAAAAAAGAAACAAAAAAACAAACCAACCTTCACAAGACAGCAGATTGTCTGAGGCGGGTGGTGTGTGTCTGAGTGAACTACAAGGTCAATGAGTAAATCATGGGAAGTGAAAGAAAAAAGCTACATTAAGAGAGGCAAAGCTTCCAGAAGGAAGGGGGTGGGTGGCACAGGCCTGGGGCCAGTGTCCCTGTCTCTATCCTGGTCTCAATCAGGCTTGGTGCTACATGCACATCTGGGGGCTCCAGCTCATGAAGGCCATTGATAAGCTGGAAAACATAAAGACCAATGAAACTGGGAAGGGTCTTGGGTTCCCACCACCTAAGGATCAGTGGAAGGAACAGGGCTGTTTGCCCTGAGGAAGAGAAGATTCAGGGAGACAAGTCTTCAAGTGTCTGAAAAGCTAAACTGAGGACAGGTAGTGTTGGTTTTCATTCTGTCTTGATCCTAAATGATGGGTCCAGAAGCACCGAAGCTAACTGAGACAATGTTAGGAGCTGTCCAAAAAGCGAAACAGGTGGGCTCAGGAGACAGTGAGCCCCCTGTCATTTGAGGGTTCCAAGGGAAAGCTGGATGACCACTGGCTGGATATTAGCATCAATGCCTGCTGAGGTCCCACTCATTTCTTAAATTCTGTGCTTCTGTATTTTACTGTCATGGATAAAATAATTTCTGTTTCAGGTAGCCAATGGCATTTATTGAGAACCCAATTGTTGGTAAAGTATTAGACTGCCCCCCAAATTGCCTTCTTTGATAATTCCTCATTTGCATCAGGGGCTTTACGCCCCAACCCTAGAATGTCTCAATGGACGCTCTCCGAAGGGCAGCTGTAAGGCCCTGAAGAAGCAGGGAAGATCAGCATCTTCAGGACCATGCCAAAGAAATGGCTGGACAACACTGCTTTCTTCTCCCCCCAGCAGCGGGCCACTCCTTCCTCCTTGGGTCCCCAGGTTTCCTGTCACTGAAGGGAGGGAGCATTGCCACCACAGGTTTATACCTTGTTCCTGGGGTAAAACATTAGGAGGAACTATTTATGGAGGCTAAACTAGGCACCTCCTGACAAGGGGTGTGTGAGAGTGACACGGGCAGATCGGCAAGCAGCTTCTTTCAGCGGGGACCTCTGCCTTTGGTGGGAGGTAGTTCAATTAGGAGCAATTTCCAGCCAGTAACAATCTGAACATTGTATCATTCTCTACATTAATACAACTTGGGTTTTCTTTTCTTTTCTTTTCTTTTTGCCATTTTCAGTCATACCAACTGGAACCAGAAAAAGAACAAGTTCTGTCCCACAACAGTGGACTCCCTTGTTCCCTGGCATTTCGGGGTCTTTTCAAACAAAGGCTGAATGACTTTTTGTCAAGTGTATTGTCTAGAAACATCTTTGGTGATGGACTATATACCCTCTGCAGTTCCTTCCAACCTTGAAAACCTGTGAGTCAGGGACTCCACATCCACTTTCTGGGACTTGTACAAGTACAAGAGGCACCTGGACTTCACTGCCCTAGAAGGTGCTAAGAAAGAGAACACCACCTCAGACACTTGACACTTAGTAGCTGTGTGACCCTAGGCAAGTCACTTACCCTCGACTGCCTAACCGAAAAAGAAAAAGAGAGAGAGAGAAAGAGAGAGAGAGAGAGAGAGAGAGAAAAAGAGAGAGAGAGAGAGAGAGAGAGAGAGACAGAGACAGAGAGAGAGAGGGAGGGAGAAAGACAGAGAGAGAGAAAGAGAGAGAGAGAGAGAGAAAGTGAGAGAGAGAGAGAGAAAAAGAGAAAGAAAGAAAAGAGAGAGAGAAAGAGAGAGAGAAAGCGAGAGAGAGAGAGAGGGAGAAAGACAGAGAGAGAGGGAGAGAGAGAAAGAGAAAAAGAGAGAGAGACAGAGAGAGAGGGGGAGAGGGAGGGAGAGAGAGAGGGAGAGGGAGAAGGAGAGGGAGAGTGAGAGGGAAAGAGAGAGAGAG